TATTTTATTAGTCTTTTCACTCTGTCGTTTAGGTCATTGTTGTAGAGTCCATCCTCAGTTTTCTCCCATCATAGCCATTGAACTCTGTAGCTGTTTTAAAATAACCAATGGTCTCACGGTGACATCCCTAAGCAGTTTCCTTCCTGTCCTGCAGCTCCGTTCAGAAGGACGACTGCATCTTAGGTTGTGTCTGGGTGGTTTAATACATCATCCACAGCATAATTATTAACTTGACCATGCTTAAAGATATATGCAACGTCTAATTTGTTATTGTTGCATATCTACCAGTCACCGCCCTTCTTTGAGGCTTTCGAAAAGCTCCCTGGTCTTTGTAATTGAATCTGTGCTTGAAATTCAATACTTAACTGAGGGACCTTACAGATGTATGTATGGGGGACAGAGGAAGGGGTAGTCATTCAAAAATCATGTCAACCCCTATTATTTCACACAGTGAATCCATATAACTTATTATGTTTTTTATTTTTTTTGGCAGCCATATTGGTCAGGGAGATACCCAAACCAGTCTAATTGGAATTAATGGCGGTAGAGGCATAATCCTGATTTTACTTATGGCAGAAAATAAAAGTAAGTCATGTGATACACTACATTACCAAAAGTATGTGGACACCTGCTCGTCGAACATCTCGTTCAAAAATCATGGGCATTAATATGGAGTTGGTCCCTCATCTGCTGCTATAACAGCCTCCACTCTTTATTAGGCCTGGCTTGCAGTCGGCGTTCCAATTCATCCCAAAGGTGTTCGATGGGGTTGAGATCAGGGCTCTGTGCAGGCCAGTCAAGTTCTTCCACACTGATCTCGACAAACCATTTCTGTATGAACCTCGCTTTGTGTCTGGGGGCTTCGTCATGTTGAAACAGCAAAGGGCCTTCGCCAAACTGTTGCCACAAAGTTGGAAGCACAGAATCGTCTAAAATGTTATTGTATGCTGTAGCGTTAAGATTTCCCTTCACTGGAACTAAGGGCCATAGCCCAAACCAGTATTCCTCCTCCACCAAACTTTACAGTTGGCACTCAGCATTGGGGCAGTATACATTCTCCTGGCATCCACCAAACCCAGATTTGTCCGTCGGACTGCCAGATGGTGAAGCGTGATTCATCACTCCAGAGAACGCGTTTCCACTGCTCGAGAGTCCAATGGCGGCGAGCTTTACACCACTCCAGCCGACGTTTGGTATTGCGCATGGTGATCTTAGGCTTGTGTGCGGCTGCTCGGCCATGGAAACCCATTTAATGAAGCTCCCGACGAACAGTTAATGTGCTGACGTTGCTTCCAGAGGCAGTTTGGAACTCTGTAGTGAGTGTTGCAGCCGAGGACAGACGATTTTTACGCGCTACGAGCTTCAGCACTCGGCAGTCCCGTTCTGTGAGCTTGTGTGGCCTACCACTTCGCGGCTGAGTCATTGTTGCTCCTAGATTTTTCCACTTCACAATAACAGCGCTTACAGCTCTAGCAGGGCAGAAATTTGACAAACTGACTTGTTGGAAAGGTAGCATCCTATGACGGTGCCATGTTGAAAGTCACTGATCTCTTCAGTAAGGCCAATCTGCTGCCAAGGCTGTGTGCTCGATTTATACAACTGTTAGCAACGGGTGTGGCTGAAATAGCCGAATCCACCAATTTTGAAGGGGTGTCCACATACTTTTGCATATATACAGTGCATTCGGAAAATATTCAGACCCCTTCACATTCTGTTACGTTACAGCCTTATTCTAAAATAGATTAAATTGTTTTTTTCCCTCATCAATCTACACGCAATACCCCATAATGACAAAGCGAAAACAGGTTTTTATACATTTTTGAAAATCTAAAAAATTAAAAACTGAAATATTACATTTACATAAGTGTTCAGACCCTTTACTCAGTACTTTGTTGAAGCACCTTTGGTAGCGATTACAGCCTCGAGTCTTCTTGGGTATGACAGTACAAGCTTGGTACAACTGTATTTGGGGAGTTTCTCCCGTTCTTCTCTGCAGATCCTCTCAAGCTCTGTCAGGTTGGATGGGGAGTGTCGCTGCACAGCTATTTTCAGGTCTCTCCAGAGATGTTCGATCGGGTTCAAGTCCGGGCTCTGGCTTGGCCACTCAAGGACATTCAGAGACTTGTCCCAAAGCCACTCCTGCATTGTCTTGGCTGTGTGCTTAGTGTCATTGTCCTGTTGGAAGGTGAACCTTCGCCACAGTCTGAGATCCTGAGCGCTCTGGAGCAGGTTTTCACCAAGGATCTCTCTGTACTTTGCTCCGTTCATCTTTCCCTCAATCCTGACTAGTCTCCCAGTCCCTGCCGCTGAAGAACATCCCCACAGCATAATGATGCTGCCACCACAATGCTTCACATTGTGATGGCGCCAGATTTCCTCCAGACGTGACGCTTGGCATTCAGGCCAAAGTTCAATCTTGGTTTCATCAGGCCAGAGATTCTTGTTTCTCATGGTCTGAGAGTCTTAAAGTGCCTTTTGGCAAAGACCAAGCGGGCTGTCATGTGCCTTTTACTGAGGAGTGGCTTCCGTCTTGCCACTCCTACCATAAAGGCCTGATTGATGGAGTACTGCAGAGATGGTTGACCTTCTGGAAGGTTCTCCCATCTCCACAGAGGAACTCAGGAGCTCTTTCAAAGTGACCATCGGGTTTTTGGTCACCCCCGATTGCTCAGTTTGGCCGGGCAGCCAGCTCTAGGAGAGTCTTGGTGGTACCAAACTTCTTCCATTTAAGAATGATGGAGACCACTGTGTTCTTGGGGACCTTCAGTGCTGCAGATTTCTAAAAACTGGTTTTTGCTTTGTCATTATGAGGTACTGTGTGTAGATTGATGAGAAAAAAAGTAAAGGGGTCTGAATACTTTCCGAATGCACTGTAAGTATATCAGAAATGGTGTAATAAAATTGTCAACCTAAAATGTTGTCATATAATTATAAATACAATGTTCTGTATAAATAGCCTCTTAAAATATATGTAAACAGACCATAAATGTCTCGGGGCTCAATTTTCGGCTGGCGTTAAGGCGGCGCTTGTGTCATACGCAGGTTAGTTTGCAATTTCCAGCCCTAACGCCAGGTTCTTTTATCAGCTCGCTGGCGCTCAGATGGAAATGTTTGAGGTGTGTCCTTAAAAACATGATCCAAATTGCCAATTTCAGGTAGCACTGATAGGGATATTTAAGACCAACCAATACCTGGTTTTAGCGGTAACGCAGTTGGTTATGTCATGAATTTTGACCTCGGAAACTCAGCCTATCCAGCTGTGATGCACACTGCCCCTATGCGCATGGAACAAGAGCTAATGTGCTTTTGGTGCCTGTATACTTCGTATTTATATTTAGTTTTATTTGGCATAGCCTCTCCTCTCAATACAGGCTTTTTGTCCTGCCCAATGCAATCGTGAAGTAGTCAAGACTGTCGATAAAGGGTTTGGCTCCTGAGATCACTTGGAAATAAATCTTAATCACCAAAGCTTTATTAAAATAAAACGTTTGAGAGGAGTAGAACAGTGAGCAGACATTCCCTTATCTAGCATTGCAGGCAGGCCCACATTATTTTTGGCCATTCAGGTCAGGTTTTGGACGTGCGTAAAACACTGTCCATGATGTAGATTGTGTCCATGCCCATCATGAAACGACAGATGAGAACCACGGTAAACCTTGTATTTAGAAGTAACCTGTAACAATTGTTTGTTTTCCATTTCATATGTTGAAAACCCAAGCCCTCCCTTAGGCCTACTATAACGAAGGCTGGTTCAACAGCAATTTGTCTTTTTTATCCTGGAGATTTTTATGATATCATTACATTTTACATTTGTTGTTGAAAAACAAATAGTGCTTGTTTTTCTTATTTTATTGCAACCAATCTTATTAGAATGATTCACCTTCCTGGTTTTACGGTTACAGCGTCCGTGCCGCGCATGCAATGCAACTTCTGGAGATGTTTGAATGCGATCTGTCCTCTAAAACTGTCTGGCTAGCTAGCTAACAAACATAAAGTGCAGATAAATTATTCCATTCATTATTTTACACGATCACGGCAAACCATGGTTGACCAACTCCCTGACCAAAATGGCTGACATTTATCAAATCAAATCGAAGTTTATTGGTCGTGTACACAGTTCAGCAGGTGTTATAGCGGTGCAACAAAATGCTTATGTTACAAGCTCCTAACAATGCAGTCAAATGTCAAACAGCTAGAAACATTTATTTTTTTTTTTAAGTAAAAAGAGGGAGGAATGCAAGAAATCAAGAATTGCGGGACGAATCCAATTAACAACCCAAAATGCAACCCAAAATGCAATCGATACATATGTACACCGGGGTAATTAACACAAGCTAAACTAAGAATGACATGTACAGCAGTAGATACATAAAACATTAGGAGCACCTTCTTAATATTGACTTGCACCCCCATTTGCCCTCAGAAGAGCCTCAATTCGTTAGGACATGGACTCTACTCTCAAAAACTTTCCACAGGGATTCTTGCCCATGTTGACTCCAATGCTTCCCAAAGTTGTCAAGTTGGCTGGATGTACTTTGGTTGGTGGACCATTCTTGATACACACGGAAAACTGTTGAGTGTGAAACCCAGCAGCGTTGCAGTTCTTGACACACTCAAACTGGTCCGCCTGGCACCTACTACCTTACCCCGTTCAAAGGCACTTAAATATTTTGTCTTGCCCATTCACCCTCTGAATGGCACACATACACAATCCATGTCTGTTGTCACTCACTCACTCACTTACTCACTCACACATTAACTAACACACACTAATTTACTCTCAAACTCACACACATTAGCACACACACAATGCATGTACACTACACACGGAACTGTACACCTTTCTATAGATGCAGTTAAAGTCATTAAGACTGCTCACAAAAACACAGCAGATAATTAACCCCATCACTTTCTATACACTGACTCACCTCCAGTTGTTTATCATGCTTTATCAAATTATGATAATTTGCGTCTCTAAAAGCAAATGCATTTGCAAAGGTATGTGTGTGTGTGTGTGTGTTCTAAATCCTCTCCCCTCTCCCTCCAGGCCCACCTTCCGTTACTTCACGTGGCACACCTGTGTGCTTGGCATCGTGGGCTGTGCTGTCATGATGTTCCTGATCAACTCTATCTACGCCTCAGCCTCCATCGCCTTCATGCTGCTGCTACTCCTGCTCATCCATTACCTCAGCCCGACCAGCAGCTGGGGCTATATCAGCCAGGCTCTCATCTTCCACCAGGTACACAGTACAGTGTGTACACACACACACTTCTGCTGCTCATCCACTTCCTCAGCTACATCAGTCTGTAGAACATTATGACATGACATCATCCTCTAGGGTTGAGCGGTATCCAGTTTTTCATATCATTTAACTGTCCTCCTCATCTCGGGATTTACGGTATTACCGGTTTAGTACACAAGGGGTCGCCCAAAAAATCCTATTGGGCGTCTATTACCAGAATGCTAACAAAATTGGCACAATTAATAGTGAATTTCCATGGAGGCTGCTATCTAAGGACTGTATGTTAACGAGCGCAAACGAAAATAAATGAATTGCAAAGACAGGCAATCTAGCTCATAAAGTTATACATCGGTAGGAGCTACCGAATGTCATTTTTGGTGAGTTTGGACATTTACAAGCGAATGTGAATAAGAGACGTTGTACAATTGAACCCATTTTTGATGCATGCTTGTCTGAAGGAACAACAACAGTACTGTCTCTGGAGCAGCATGTGTACATGTGTCTGGATTCGCTAGGGCAATGGGCCTGCCTGCTCTGCTCGGAGAGGAGGGGGGAGGAGCAGACAGGCCGAGAACAGAGAAGGAAAAAGCAAGATAACAGTGGCAGCTTTACAGAGAACTCATCCAAAGGGCTTTGACTTCTCAAACACGGCAGTAAGATAACACAATATGATGCCCCGTCAACTTATTAATTCAGCCACTTACTTAGATAACTAGCAAGTTAAAGTTAGGGGTCACATTAACGCAGAATTCTTTCACGCAGGAAAAACATATAATTTGCATAAATGCTGTGTTTTGTAAACGCGGATCTAAAATGCTTCTTGTTGTAATTTCTGCTCGGCAGCAGACTAATGTTGTGCTTCAGTTGCACTTCTCCACTCGGATGAAAATTCACGAACAGGCATTCTATCAGCAGACAGCTCTCTGACTGATGTGGAGCTACTTTTCTCTGGTACTTTTCTCAGTGTAACCAGCCTACTTTTCTCTGGTACTTTTCTCAGTGTAACCAGCCTACTTTTCTCTGGTACTTTTCTCAGTGTAACCAGCCTACTTTTCTCTGGTACTTTTCTCAGTGTAACCAGTCTACTTTTCTCTGGTACTTTTCTCAGTGTAACCAGCCTACTTTTCTCTGGTACTTTTCTCAGTGTAACCAGCCTACTTTTCTCTGGTACTTTTCTCAGTGTAACCAGCCTACTTTTCTCTGGTACTTTTCTCAGTGTAACCAGTCTACTTTTCTCTGGTACTTTTCTCAGTGTAACCAGCCTACCTTTCTCCGGTAAAATGCTAGATTAACTTTAAAACATAGGAAATGAAGCTGGCTACATTCTTTCTTTTGATAAACATTAGAAATATAATGGCCATGCATCATTTGGGCAAAAAATACCTTGCTTTTTCATTGTAAGCTCCTTTACTTGTGTGGCTGCCAGCCAAATAACGTTGCACTTCTGTTGTCGTGACTTTCGATATAAAACGCCACCCCTGTCAATACACAGCTGGACTCACCTCAGTCACCTGCTCCCGCTTTCTCCCGTTGTGTTATTTACAAACAAACATGTGGCTCAACTATGGTAAGCTTCATAATGTAAAATAATGTGCCAGGTGAAATGAAGAACGCAATTTGCTTTATCTCCTAATCTATTGCACAAGTATGAAAATGTATTGAAAAACTTCAAATAAATAGTTTCAACGGTATTGAAAAACCATCCCGTGGCTATTTCCAAATACCCCGGTATAAGGTATATACGGTATACCGCCCAAGCCTCTCAACCAGAAGTATTTGTATATTTGTCCTCTATTCTACAAGCCTTTTGCTCTACACACCATATTTTCAAGGAGGGGGTACTGTTGCCAGGAGGGACCGTTGCCAAGGGGATGGTTTCCAGGGCAGTGAGGTGCCAGGAGCCTGTCAAAAGCTAGGCTGCTCCAGGAGCATTATTACAGCCACTTAACTTATTGAGCCTTTCTCCTCCACTGCTCCCTCTCTCCTCCTCTCCTCCCCATCCCCCCGTCCCCAGGGAGAGAGGGAAACGAGGGGAACGCGGAGAGACTGGCCCACTTAGATTAAACTAACGTGTGTGTCTGGGGATTACGAGGGTGCATGTTTCGGCAGTGCTCCGTATGGATCGGTGCCAACTGGGTGACATTGAGGAAAGACATAGAAGAAGGGATTCATGTGATCCAGCCAAGGAGATACAAGCTGATAGTACAGAGGGATGGAGATAGTATTGAAGGTGTGATCGACATGAAGATGAGTTTATAGATGACTAAAATAAGAGAAGTTAAGAAAAGTTGGAAATGCAATGGAAAAGGTGATGAGATGGAGAGGAGGAGTGATTGAGAAAATAAGTGATGGAGATGGTTCACAAGAGAGGATGATTGAGAGAGACGGAGAGATGGAGTGGTAGATGAGTGGAGGAGGCAGAAGCCCGTTGACTCCAGGACCTCGCTCTGTTTAGCATAAACTTTGATAATGATGATTAAGATGTTAATGATTGTGTTATGAGTGTTTAGTGTTCTCATCATTAGCAGTATGTACATGCACATACTCTCACATAAACATACATACACACGCATTTACATGCATGCACACACTAATTATTCACATGAGGTTGTCTGGTCATAAGCATGGTTTCAGTACTTTGTATCATAGTGTTTAATTATTCAAATACTTGGTTGGCTAGGTAACAGGAATGAATATAGGATAGGCAGTTTTATGTTCCAAACTTGGAATGTTTCAACAGTAGTCCTGTAGAGCTCTGTGATTTGATGTTCTGAGAATATGGCGGGAGGTCGGCGGTACTGCCGTTCCATAATGATAACTCTCTTCATGGCCACCACACACACACCCCTCCTACACACTCCCTGGTCTGCAGTCTCTGCCACGGTCTCATGTCTTAATGGGATTCTGATTGTGGATCCAATTTGTTTCTGCAGTGGCGGAATCCTTCTGATTTAGACCAGACAGACACAGACACACACGCACTCTGCAGACAGGGGGCGTGGTGTGGGGGTGCACAGGAACTTGTCTGTCAGAGGAGAGTAAAGGAAGGGTTTTATGCAGAGAGTGTCGAACTTTAGCAATATACACCATGTTTGTAGTTGCCAGTAGTAACCAGATCTGTTTGTAATTTAGCCAACTCCTCTGTGGTTTGTTGTTGTACCATACATATACATATACCTCCCGAGTGGCCGGCCGCGACCGGGAGACCCATGGGGCGGCGCACAGTTGGCCCAGCGTCGTCCAGGGTAGGGGAGGGATTGGCCGGCAGGGATGTAGCTCAGTTGGTAGAGCATGGCGTTTGCAACGCCAGGGTTGTGGGTTCGATTCCCACGGTGGGCCAGTATGAAAAATAAAAAAATTATGTATGCACTCACTAACTGTAAGTCGCTCTGGATAAGAGCGTCTGCTAAATGACTAAAAAATGTAAACATAATGTATATGACATGAACATGTATGGTATAACAATGAACAACTGAGGAGTTTGCCAAATAATCTAGCCACTAGGCTACAGTAGTAGCAACATGCCTTGGCAACCAACCTACTGTACAGATGTTCACTGAAAGCCCACACTAACACACGGTTATCTTAACAGTATTGCATTTTTCATGTAGCCTACTTTTGGCCAGCTAATAGTCTAACCACCGATCAATCAACATTATGGACTAAAAGTATTTTGCTGTGACAATATAGGTCAAATTAAGATTCTACATCTGTGTGTTGCAACCACTTAGCACTCCAGTCATCCAGTCCTGATTTAACTATTGTGTATGCAGTATAGAGCAGTGGTTTCCAACAATGGGTACTAGGACCCCTGGGGGTACTTGGCCTATCCACAGGGGGTACTTGAAGACTCATGAGACCATAGGCTTACTGGTAAAATTCACGAGGGGGCACTTCAGGGGTACTCCCTCGGGCAGAGCTAAATTCAGTTGGTGGTACAGTAACCAAAAAAGGTTGGGAACCACTGCAGGAGAATACAGTATACAGCTCTGTTGTAACCTAACTCCTCTCTCTCCTTCCTTCTCCTCCAGGTGCGTAAGTACCTGTTGATGTTGGATGTGCGTAAGGACCATGTGAAGTTCTGGAGACCCCAGGTGTTGCTGATGGTGTCTAACCCTCGTAGCAGTGTAGGTCTCATCACCTTCATCAACGACATCAAGAAGAGTGGTCTCTATGTCCTGGGACATGTACAGCTAGGAGACCTGGGTAAGAGGACATTTGGAGACGTTGGGTTTTCAAGAATAAAGAAGCATTTCACTTTTCACTTCCATTATTCACCAAGATTGGATGAATACCTCACACTGATCCATCGCAATTCAGGCTTCTTGGTGAATGTCTAGCGGAAATGTGTTAGACTGAGTTGAAGTCAAAGCAATGTTTGAAGAAGTATGTCTCTGACTTGGCTAGTTCAGTACAGTAACTAAAGCTATATGTGTGGTAAGCCAGGCTGCTTACCAGTGTGTGAAGTTTATTAGGTGCACCACCTCATTCCCAAAAATGTTTCGCTCCTACAGACAGTGAGTCACGTTGCTGTGGCTTGCTATATATAGCATCGGTGCCAGGCGCGCCGGTTCCAGTATCTCAGAAACGGCCAGCCTCCTGGGCTTTTCACACGCACGTCGGTGTCTAGGGTTTACCGAGAATGGTGCGACAAACAAAAAACAACCAGTCAGCGGCAGTTCTGTGGGTGAAAACAGCGCGTTGATGAGAGAGGTCGAAGGAGAATGGCAAGAATCGTGGAAGCTAACAGGCGGGCCACAAATGGGAAAATAACGGCGCAGTACAACAGTGGTGTGCACCAGGGGTTCCCAAACTTGTTCATTCAGGCCCCCCTTCCAGCATTGGAGAACATCCTGCACCGACCCGTCGCGCCCACACAGTTTGGGAACCACTGCAGAACGGTATCTCGGAATGCACAACTCGTCGGTCCTTGTCACAGATGGGCTATTACAGCAGACGACCACACCAGGTTCCACTCCAACAACTAAAAACAAGAAGAAGCGCCTCCAGTGGGCACGCAATCACCAACACTGGACGATTGAGGAGTGGAAAAACATCACCTGGTCCGCTGAATCCCAGTTCCTGTTGCGTCATGCTGATGTCAGAGTCAGGATTTGGCATAAGCCGCATGAGTCCATGGCCCCATCCTGCCTGGTGTCAACAGTACAGGCTGGTGATGGTGGTGTAATGGAGTGGGGAATGTTTTCCTGGCACACATTAGGTCCCTTGATACCAATTGAGCAACATTTCCATGCCCCAAAGAATTCAGACTGTTTTGGATGCATAGGGGGGTCTGACCCGGTACTAGATGTGTGTACCTAATAAACTGTGTGTAGTGCTAGACTTTCAGTGGTGACCGAGCTCCTCCTGTATTGACAGGCCCAGCCTCGCGCTCTCTCGTGTGTGTGTGTCTCTCTCGTGTCTCTCTCTCTCTCTCTCTCGTGTCTCTCTCTCTCTCTCGTGTCTCTCTCTCGTGTCTCTCTCTCTCTCTCGTGTCTCTCTCTCTCTCTCGTGTCTCTCTCTCTCTCGTGTCTCTCTCTCTCTCTCTCTCTCGTGTGTCTCTCTCGTCTCTCTCTCGTGTGTCGCTCTCTCGTGTCGCTCTCTCTCTCGTGTCTCTATTCTCGTGTGTCTCTCTCATGTCTCTCTCTCTCTCTCTCATGTCTCTCTCTCTCGTCTCTCTCTCTCTCTCGTGTGTCTCGCTCTCTCTCGTGTGTCTCTCTCTCTCTCGTGTGTCTCTCTCTCTCGTGTCTCTCTCTCGTGTCTCTCTCTCTCTCTCTCGTGTGTCTCTCTCTCGTGTCACTTCCTCGTGTGTCTCTCTCTCTCTCTCTCTCTCTCTCCTCTCTCTCTCTCTCGTGTGTCTCTCTCTCTCTCTCTCTCGTGTGTCTCTCTCTCTCTCTCTCTCGTGTGTCTCTCTCTCTCTCTCTCGTGTGTCTCTCTCTCTCTCTCGTGTGTCTCTCTCTCTCTCTCTCGTGTGTCTCTCTCTCTCTCTCTCGTGTCTCTCTCTCTCTCTCTCGTGTGTCTCTCTCTCTCTCTCTCGTTGTCTCTCTCTCTCTCTCTCGTTTTGTCTCTCTCTCTCTCTCTCGTGTTGTCTCTCTCTCTCTCTCTCTCGTGTGTCTCTCTCTCTCTCTCTCGTGTGTCTTCTCTCTCTCTCTGTCTCTCTCTCGTGTCTCTCTCTCTCTCTCGTGTCTCTCTCGTGTCTCTCTCTCTCTCGTGTCTCTCTCTCTATCGTTGTCTCTCTCGTCTTCTCTCTCTCTCTCTCTCTCGTGTGTCTCTCTCTCTCGTGTCTCTCTCTCTCTCTCTCTCTCTTGTGTCTCTCTCTCTTGTGTCTCTCTCTCTCTCTCGTGTGTCTCTCTCTCTCTCGTGTCTCTCTCTCGTCTCTCTCTCTCGTGTCGCTCTCTCTCGTGTGTCGCTCTCTCGTGTCGCTCTCTCGTGTCTCTATTCTCGTGTGTCTCTCTCTATTCTCGTGTGTCTCTCTCATGTCTCTCTCTCGTGTGTCTCTCTCTCGTGTGTCTCGCTCTCTCTCGTGTGTCTCTCTCTCTCGTGTCTCTCTCTCGTGTCTCTCTCTCGTGTCTCTCTCTCTCTCTCGTGTGTCTCTCTCTCTCGTGTCTCTCTCTCGTGTCTCTCTCTCGTGTGTCTCTCTCTCTCTCTCTCTCGTGTGTGTCTCTCTCTCATCTCTCTCTCGCTCGTTGTCTCTCTCTCTCTCTCGTGTGTCTCTCTCTCTCTCGTGATGTCTCTCTCTCTCTCTCGTGTCTCTCTCTCGTGTCTCTCTCTCTCTCTCGTGTCTCTCTCTCTCTCTCGTGTCTCTCTCTCTCTCGTGTCTCTCTCGTCTCTCTCTCTCTCTCTCTCTCTCATGTCTCTCTCTCTCGTGTCTCTCTCTCTCTCTCTTGTGTCTCTCTCTCTTGTGTCTCTCTCTCTCTCTCTCGTGTGTCTCTCTCTCTCGTGTGTCTCTCTCTCTCTCGTGTCTCTCTCTCGTCTCTCTCTCGTGTCGCTCTCTCGTGTCGCTCTCTCTCGTCTCTCTCTCGTGTCGCTCTCTCGTGTCGCTCTCTCTCGTCTCTCTCTCGTGTCGCTCTCTCTCGTGTCGCTCTCTCATGTCGCTCTCTCTCTCGTGTCTCTATTCTCGTGTGTCTCTCTCTATACTCGTGTGTCTCTCTCATGTCTCTCTCTCTCGTGTGTCTCTCTCTCTCGTGTGTCTCTCTCTCTCGTGTGTCTCTCTCTCTCGTGTGTCTCGCTCTCTCTCGTTGTGTCTCTCTCTCTCTCTCGTGTCTCTCTCTCTCTCTCGTGTGTCTCTCTCTCTCTTGTGTGTCTCTCTCTCTCTCGTGTGTGTCTCTCTCTCTCTCGTGTCTCTCTCTCTCTCTCTCGTGTGTCTCTCTCGTGTGTCTCTCTCTCTCTCTCGTGTGTCTCTCTCTCTCTTCGTGTGTCTCTCTCTCTCTCTCGTGTCTCTCTCTCTCTCGTGTCTCTCTCTCTCTCGTGTCTCTCTCTCTCCTCTCTCTCTCGTGTGTCTCTCTCTCTCTCTCGTGTGTCTCTCTCTCTCTCGTGTGTCTCTCTCTCTCTCGTGTGTCTCTCTCTCTCTCTCGTGTGTCTCTCTCTCTCTCTCGTGTGTCTCTCTCTCGTGTCTCTCTCTCTCTCTCGTGTCTCTCTCTCTCGTGTCTCTCTCTCTCTCTCGTGTCTCTCGTGTCTCTCTCTCTCGTCTCTCTCTCTCTCTCATGTCTCTCTCTCTCTCGTGTCTCTCTCTCTCGTCTCTCTCTCTCTCGTGTGTCGCTCTCTCTCTCGTGTGTCGCGCTCTCTCTCGTGTGTCGCGCTCTCTCTCGTGTGTCGCGCTCTCTCTCGTGTGTCGCGCTCTCTCTCGTGTGTCGCGCTCTCTCTCGTGTGTCGCGCTCTCTCTCGTGTGGTCGCGCTCTCTCTCGTGTGTCGCGCTCTCTCGTGTGTCGCGCTCTCTCGTGTGTCGCTCTCTCTCTCGTGTGTCGCTCTCTCTCTCGTGTGTCGCCTCTCTCTCGTGTGTCGCTCTCTCTCGTGTGTCGCTCTCTCTCGTGTGTCGCTCTCTCTCGTGTGTCGCTCTCTCTCGTGTGTCGCTCTCTCTCTCGTGTGTCGCTCTCTCTCTTGTGTGTCGCTCTCTCTCTCTCGTGTCGCTCTCTTTCGTGTGTCGCTCTCTCGTGTGTGTCGCTCTCTCGTGTGTCTCTCTCTCTCTCGTGTGTCGCTCTCTCTCTCTCGTGTGTCGCTCCTCTCTCTCGTGTGTCGCTCTCTCTCTCGTGGTCGCTCTCTCTTAGTTGTGCTCTCTCTCTCGTGTGTCCTTCTTCTCTTCGTGTCTCTCCTCTATCGTGTGTCGCTCTCTCTCTCGTGTGTCGCTCTCTCTCTCGTGTGTCGCTCTCTCGTGTGTGTCGCTCTCTCGTGTGTCGCTCTCTCTCTCGTGTGTCGCTCTCTCGCTCTCGTGTGTCGCTCTCTCGCTCTCGTGTCTCTCTCTCGTGTGTCGCTCTCTCGTGTGTCGCTCTCTCTCTCGTGTGTCGCTCTCTCTCTTGTGTGTCCTCCTCTCTTCGTGTCGCTCTCTTTCGTGGTCGCTCTCTCGTGTGTGTCGCTCTTCGTGTGTACTCTCTCTCTCGTGTGTCGCTCTCTCTCTCTGGGGGTCGCTCTCTCTCTGGGGTGTCGTCTCTTCTCCTCGTGTGTCGCTCTCTTTTCGTGTGTCGCTTCTCTCTCGTGTGTCGCTCTCCCCTTCTGTGTCTCTCTCTCGTTTTTTCTGTGTCTCTCTCTTTTCGGGTTATTTCTCTCTTTCTCTCGTTTTTGTCTTTTCTCTCTCTTGTGTGTCGCTCTTTTGGCGCTCTCTCTTGTGTGTCGATCTCTCTCGTGTTGGTGTCGGTTTTCTCCTTGTGTGCGCTCTCTCGGTTGTCGCTCTCTCTCCGGGTGTCGCTCTCTCCCTTGTGTGTCGCTTCTCCTCTCGTGTCCTCTCTTCGTGTGTCGCTTCTGTGTGTCGCTTTTTTCTCTCTCGTGTGTCGGCTCTATCTCTTGTGTGTCGCTCTCTTTCGTGTGTCGCTCCCCTTTCGTGTGTCCTCTTGTGTGTGTCCTCTCTCGTTTTGTCTCTCTCTCTGTGTGTGCTCTCTCTCTCTCGTGTGTCGCTCTCTCTCTCGTGTGTCGCTCTCTCTTTTCGTGTGGGCTCTCTCTGTGTGGCTCTCTCTGTGTGGTCGCTCTCTTTGTCGTCTCTCGTGTTCCTCTCTCGTGTGTCGCTCTCTCTCTCGTGTGTCGCTCCTCCCCTCGTTTTGTCGCTTTTCTATTGTGTCCTCTCTCTGTGTGTCTTTTCGTGTGTACGCTCTCTCGGTGTCGCTCTCTCGTGGTGTCGCCCCTTTTCTCGTGTGTCGGTTTTCCTTGTGTGTCGGTCTCTCTATCTCGTGTTCTCTCTCTCGTGTGTCGGTCTCTCTCTCGTGTGTCGGTCTCTCTCTCGTGTGTCGGTCTCTCTCTCGTGTCGGTCTCTCTCTCGTGTGTCGGTCTCTCTCTCGTGTGTCTCTCTCTCTCGTGTGTGTCTCTCTCTCTCGTGTGTGGTCTTCTCTCTCGTGTGTTGGGTTTTTCCCCTTTGGTGTGTCTCTCTCTCGGGGGTTTTCTCTCTCTTTGTGGTCTCTCTCTATGGGGCTCTCCTCTAGGGGTTTTTCTTCTGTTGTGGCTCTTTTGTGTTGTGATTCCTCTCTCGGTAATTGTTTCTCTGGGCCCTTTGGGTTCCCCTCCTGTTTTCTGTATTAGGTTTGTGTTTTCTTCTGGGGTCTTTGTTCCCCCAGGTCACAATACAGAGAAATAACTTAATCGCTTATTCTCTAAGAGCACTTGGCAGATAATGGCCCCTGGCCAAAATGTTTGCATAGATATTGATGTTTTGTTTCTCTCTCTCGCTCTCTTTGTCCCCCCCCCACCCCTCTCAGACACGTTACCGTCCGACCCTCTCCAGTGTCGTTATGACTCGTGGTTGTCTCTGGTGGACCACCTCAACATCAAGGCATTTGTCAACCTCACCCTGGCTGACTCAGTACGGCACGGAGTCCAACACCTACTCTTCATCTCTGGCCTAGGTCAGTGATTCTATTCACTACTCTCTGATACCATGTACTCTATTAGCTGTAACTCTGGCCCAACTGTCACTCATACACACCTCTTTTACAATCACATCTCACCCATTCACTCATCTCTCCCTCTTTCCATCCCTCTCTGTCTCTCTAGGTGGGATGAGGCCCAACACCTTGGTCCTGGGTTTCTATGATGACTGCACCCCCAAAGACAAACTCACTGACCCCGCCCTCACAGATGCCGCCGTCGCCACTCAGGACCCCGAGGACGAACACCCGCCCTACCACTTCCCCGCCCTGCGGGCATCCAATGATGGCAAGGAGGAGGGCAACGGAGAAAACGGAAAAGTCATGGGACCCCAAGAATACGTGGCGGTGATCGCAGACGCCATGAAGATGTTGAAGAACGTAGCGCTAGCCCGCTACTTCCACCAGTTCGACCGGGCCTCGACCATCTCCTCGTCCCAAGGGAAGGGTGCTCTGTACGTGGACGTGTGGCCCGTCAACCTGCTGAGACCAGACAGCTCCAGCTACGTAGACACCTGCTCCCTCTTCCTGCTCCAGCTCGCCTGCGTCCTCAACATGGTCCGCGCCTGGCGCCATGCTAGACTCCGCCTCTTTCTGTGTGTGGAGGAAGGGCGGAGTCTGCGAGGCTCTGAGGAGAAGCTGGGTCAGCTGCTGAAGGAGCTGAGGATCAAAGCCAACGTGTACACGGTGCCCTGGGACCAGCAGGTGGCGCTACATTGGCAGAGGCAGGGTGAGGCGGGCAAGAGGAGGCCCTCCCGCCAATCACAGAGAGAGGAGGAGGGGGTGGGGAAGAGGGGGTTGTTTGAGGAGGAGGAAGGAGACAACGACTATGTGAATAGCTTCCCTAGCAACGCCACAAGGCTGTCTGATGAGTATCTGTCGGCCGTTAACAAGTTGATCCTGGAGCAGGCCCGCCCCCCTCCGGCCGTGCGTTTCCTGTATTTGCCCCGCCCCCCTGCTGACACCCGCCGCTACACGGCCTACCTGCGCCAGCTGGACCTGCTCACCAAGGACCTGGGTCCTACCCTGCTCATACACGGGGTTACGCCTGTCCTCACCACCGACCTCTAACCCCTGAACTCTAACCCCAAACTTAAACCAGCTGACCCTTGATTTAAACCCTTATTTCATCCCCTTACCAAATTGCTGCAAGTAGAAGTGGTGCTTAGACAAAGGTCAAGGATCCACTTACCTTCCCCAAAGCTGTACTAAAATACAGTACTAATATGTTTCCTCCCTGCCCCTATCCTCCTTATGAATATGGAAGGGTTGCACTGTCCAAAAAGTAAATGATAATAATATATAGATTTTTCTCCTTCAAGGGGACTGAAGTCTGACACTCTGCCAAGTCATTGGAGCTCAGCTAAATGTGTCACGAATTTAGCCGAGGCTGCCCCTCCTCCTTGCTCGGGCAGGTTTCGGCGTTCGTCGTCACCGGCTTACTAGCCACCTCTCCATTTATCATCACTCCATTTGTCTTGTCTTGTCTTGTCAATCACACACACCTGGTACGCATTCCCTCAGTAGTCTGTGTATAAGTGTTCCCTCTGCCCCCTTGTCCTTTGTGAGTGATTGTTCATTGTGAGAGTGAGTAGCTCGGTTGAGAAACGTGACCTTTTAAAAGTTTACAGTTCAAATATGAAAATCCAGCGATCTGTTTATTGCAACAACAACAACAAAATTAAGAAATATATTTGGGTGCTCTTGATCTTTTTTTCCTTTTAGAAATATTTTCCTTTGTACCATTATGACTATGTATTACTGACTGAACCAATCAGAATGACAAAGTGCTCTTGTGTGCCTGGGTGTAGCAGACATTGCACACTCCTCATGTAGGCTTCAGGACCAGTAGTTTCCTTCAACAGGACAAACTCCTGGACCAACTCTAGTCCAACTCTAGTCTACATGGAATCCCATGGATGTTTACTGAAGGGATATCTATTCTATATAGATCTTTCATCTCCATGGAGCCCTTCTATTGGACACTACACTCCTATGCAAATAATTCTGGGATATGACAGGTCCTATGCAGCTCAATTACTTTTTGCTGGAACACAGATACCTGTACATCAACACTATTTTAAATTAAACAAAAAATGTCACTTTTTTAAAAGTACCATCCAAATCATAATATTTTAAAGTGTGTATATTGTGATTGAATAAAGAAGCTGTTTTGTTTAAGTTCTGTGTGATCTTTATTTTAATTTCACATTGTGCATTAGTTTTGAGTCTGCCAGTAATTGATCTAAACCTAGTTGAAGTGTTGATTGATGTGTCTATGTTAAGGTCCGTAAGTATACTGAACAAAAATATAAATGCAACATGTAAGGTGTTGGTCCTGTGTTTCATGAGCTGAAATTAAAGATCCCAGAAATGTTCCATACGCACAAAAAGCGTATTTCTCAAAAATGTGTACAAATTTGTTTACATACGTGTTAGTGAGCATTTCTCCTTTGCCAAGATAATCCATCCACCTGACACCTGTGGCATATCAAGAAGTTGATTAAACAGCATGATCATTACACAGGTGCACCTTGTGCTGGGGACAATAAAAGGCCACTCTAAAATGTGCAGTTTTGTCACTCCGCACAATGCCGCAGATGTCTCAAGTTGTTTTTAGGGCGTGTGCAATTGGCATGCTGCCTGCGGGAATGTTCATTTCTCTACCATAAGCCGCCTCCAACGTCGTTTTAGAGAACTTGGCAGGACGTCCGACCGTCCTCACAACCGCAGACCAAGTGTAAAAATGTCATACGCTTGTTTATATTGGTGCTTATCTCTCAATTGCCCACTGGAGTTTATAGTTTACCCATTACCCACCTTTTTTTAACACTACATCACTGATATTAATACAGAATTGTAATTAATATTCTAATAATTCAGGTAATACGATCATCTGTGTGCTCCATTGATGTCTGTGTGGTGCTTGATTGGTAATTCCGTTAATACAAATATGAACACTGCAATTGAGAAAATAGATATCTAAAGAGTTGATTGATTTTATGAAATTCATCATTACAACTGACTGATCAGTCGCTGATGCTACAGTGAGGGAAAAAAGTATTTGATCCCCTGCTAATTTTGTACGTTTGCCCACTGACAAAGAAATTATCAGTCTATAATTTTAATGGTAGGTGTATTTGAACAGTGAGAGACAGAATAACAACAAAAAAATCCAGAAAATCGCATGTCAAAAATGTTATAAATTGATTAGCATTTTAATTAGGGAAATAAGTATTTGACCCCCTCTCAATCAGAAATATTTCTGGCTCCCAGGTGTCTTTTATACAGGTAACGAGCTGAGATTAGGAGCACACTCTTAAAGGGAGTGCTCCTAATCTCAGCTTGTTACCTGTATAAAAGACACCTGTCCACAGAAGCAATCAATCAATCAGATTCCAAACTCGCCACCATGGCCAAGACCAAAGAGCTCTCCAAGGATGTCAGGGACAAGATTGTAGACATACACAAGGCTGGAATGGGCTACAAGACCATCGCCAAGCAGCTTGGTGAGAAGGTGACAACAGTTGGTGCGATTATTCCCTCGGCCTGGGGCGCCAATGAACATCTGAATGATTCAGAGGAGAACTGGGTGAAAGTGTTGTGGTCAGATGAGACCAAAATCGAGCTCTTTGGCATCAACTCAACTCGCCGTGTTTGGAGGAGGAGGAATGGAGGTGGAAACATTATGCTTTGGGGGTGTTTTTCTGCTAAGGGGACAGGACAACTTCACTGCATCAAAGGGACGATGGACGGCGCCATGTACTGTCAAATCTTGGGTGAGAACCTCCTTCCCTCAGCCAGGGCATTGAAAATGGGTTGTGGATGGGTATTCCAGCATGACAATGACCCAAAACACACGGCCAAGGCAACAAAGGAGTGGCTCAAAAAGAAGCACATTAAGGTCCTGGAGTGGCCTAGCCAGTCTCCAGACCTTAATCCCATAGAAAATCTGTGGAGGGAGCTGAAGGTTCGAGTTGCCAAACATCAGGCTCGAAACCTTAATGACTTGGAGAAGATCTGCAAAGAGGAGCGGAACAAAATCCCTCCTGAGATGTGTGCAAACCTGGTGGCCAACTACAAGAAATGTCTGACCTCTGTGATTGCCAACAAGGGTTTTGCCACCAAGTACTAAGTCATGTTTTGCAGAGGGGTCAAATACTTATTTCCCTCATTAAAATGCAAATCAATTTAGAACATTTTTGACATGCGTTTTTCTGGATTTTTGTTGTTGTTATTCTGTCTCTCACTGTTCAAATAAACCTACCATTAAAATTATAGACTGATCATGTCTTTGTCAGTGGGCAAATGTACAAAATCAGCAGGGGATCAAATACACTGCTCAAAAAAATTAAGGGAACACTTAAACAACACATCCTAGATCTGAATGAATGAAATTATCTTATTAAATACTTTTTTCTTTACATAGTTGAATGTGCTGACAACAAAATCACACAAAAATTATCAATGGAAATCAAATGTATCAACCCATGGAGGTCTGGATTTGGAGTCACCCTCAAAATTAAAGTGGAAAACCACACTACAGGCTGATCCAACTTTGATGTAATGGCCTTAAAACAAGTCAAAATGAGGCTCAGTAGTGTGTGTGGCCTCCACGTGCCTGTGTGGCCTCCACGTGCCTGTATGACCTCCCTACAACGCCTAGGCATGCTCCTGATGAGGTGGCGGATGGTCTCCTGAGGGATCTCCTCCCAGACCTGGACTAAAGCATCCGCCAACTCCTGGACAGTCTGTGGTGCAACGTGGCGTTGGTGGATGAAGCGAGACATGATGTCCCAGATGTGCTCAATTGGATTCAGGTCTGGGGAACGGGCGGGCCAGTCCATAGCATCAATGCCTTCCTCTTGCAGGAACTGCTGACACACTCCAGCCACATGAGGTCTAGCATTTTCTTGCATTAGGAGGAACCCAGGGCCAACCGCACCAGCATATGGTCTCACAAGGGGTCTGAGGATCTCATCTCGGTACCTAATGGCAGTCAGGCTACCTCTGGCGAGCACATGGAGGGCTGTGCGGTCCCCCAAAGAAATGCCACCCCACACCATGACTGACCCACCGCCAAACCGGTCATGCTGGAGGATGTTGCAGGCAGCAGAACGTTCTCCACGGCGTCTCCAGACTCTGTGCTCAGTGTGAACCTGCTTTCATCTGTGAAGAGCACAGGGCGCCAGTGGCGAATTTGCCAATCTTGGTGTTCTCTGGCAAATGCCAAACGTCCTGCACGGTGTTGGGCTGTAAGCACAACCCCCCACCTGTGTACGTCGGGCCCTCATACCACCCTCATGGAGTCTGTTTCTGACCGTTTGAGCAGACACATGCACATTTGTGGCCTGCTGGAGATCATTTTGCAGGGCTCTGGCAGTGCTCATCCTGCTCCTCCTTGCACAAAGGCGGAGGTAGCGGTCCTGCTGCTGGGTTGTAGCCCTCCTACGGCCTCCTCCACATCTCCTGATGTACTGGCCTGTCTCCTGGTAGCGCATCCATGCTCTGGACACTACGCTGACAGACACGGCAAACCTTCTTGCCACAGCTCGCATTGATGTGCCATCCTGGATGAGCTGCACTACCTGAGCCACTTGTGTGGGTTGTAGACTCCGTCTCATGCTACCACTAGAGTGAATGCACCGCTAGCATTCAAAAGTGACCAAAACATCAGCCAGGAAGCATAGGAACTGAGAAGTGGTCTGTGGTCACCACCTGCAGAACCACTTCTTTATTGGGGGTGTCTTGCTAATTGCCTATAATTTCCACCTGTTGTCTATTCCATTTGCACAACAGCATGTGACATTTATTGTCAATCAGTGTTGCTTCCTAAGTGGACAGTTTGATTTCACAGAAGTGTGATTGACTTGGAGTTACATTGTGTTGTTAAGTGTTCCCTTTATTTTTTTTAGCAGTGTACTTTTTTCCCTCACTGTACGTGTCAGGGTGAATCATTTAAACTCAAACTCTGGTTATGGCCCTGTCTATGGTAAGCTCTGGGTGTGTCAAGGTTAATTAGTTAATGTGTCTTGCAGGTGTAGGCCTTGTGGCAACTGTGCTGTGTTTCT